GATTGAAGAACTCTTGAAATATAAGACAACAAATATGGAGCTCCACAAGATGTTGGTTCTGTCACTGCAGAAGTGAAAGGGGGTTGGAAGGGAGGTGTTAAGGATGGTGGTCCCTGCTTCCTTTGCTGCCCATGCTGTGGCAACGAGTGACACACCTGAATCTCTGCAGCAGCCTCTCTCCATCCTGGGCTTTGCTCACAAAGAGGTGACATGGGGGACAGCCAGTTTGGTTCTCTGTGCTCATTTCTGTCACTGAGCTGCCCAGCTCCTTGGTCCTTGGCCCTGAGAGAGTCCTGTCTGTCCTGTTCCTTTCCCTGTGTCCTACCACGTGCTCCCTGTCTTCCTTCTCCTGACTGTGGCATTGGGAATGGCTCATGCTGGTGTCCCTAAAAGAAACAGCTTCAGCCTGAGTCACATCGGCATGGCTGGGTGTGTGGAGGTGGGAAGTAGGAAGGAGAAGACTTGTGGATTGCTCAGCTGTGATCCTGAGCAGCTGGGGCAGAGGGGAGCAGAGCATCTGGGGTTTTTGGAGTTGCGTGTTGATTTCCATCAATACAACAAAACCCAGTGTCCATCCAGAGCCTTCTGGACAAGCTGCTGTCCTTGTCACTGCACACTGCTCTGGGGTGGCCTGGAGTGCCCCTGGGGTGCTGGAATTACCCTCAGAGGGAGCCCTGGCAGAGCCAGGCTGTGGTGTGAGCACTGTCCTTGTCCTGTGATCCAGTTTGCCTTGTGCTGGAATCCCCTCTGCTGTGCCCACTGTGGGCAAGCTGGCTGTTGGCTCAGGGCTCAGCTGTGGGAAGGGATTGGTGTGTTCCGTGGGTTGTGGGGGTGCTGCCTCTGAGGCATGAGTGCCAGAGCACCCCCAGTGTGTCCCACAGGTCCCCTTTAGGTCCCAGGCCCCCCCCAGTTTGAGGAGATGGCCCAGAGCTGCTGTTTTCCATGCAGGGGAGCCGTACTTGGCTCTGGGTGCCCTGACCCGTGTCCTGTCCCTGTCACAGTCCCCCCAGTTTGAGGAGATGGCCCAGAGCTGCTGTTCTCCCTGCAGAGGAGCTGTCCCTGGCTCTGGGTGCCCTGACCCTGTCCCTTGTGTTGCAGCTGACCCTGACCATCGTGCGGCAGACGGGCGGGCTGGGCATCAGCATCGCCGGGGGCAAGGGCTCCACGCCCTACAAGGGGGATGACGAGGTAAGGCCTGGCTCTGTCACTGCCCCTGTCACTGGTGAGCCAGCTCCTGCTGGGGATGGGGTGTCCCTCGTGGGAGTTTTGGACCGGGTGGGAGCAGCCCTGGATGCTCCCAAAGGGAGGGTGGTGGGGTGGAGCAGGATGGGGAATGAGCTGGATGAGCCATGGTGGTGGC